TGCTATCCAAAGTATTATGAGTTCATAATAGGGCCTTGGATTTCATACTCAAAGGTTTGTATTTTAGCTTATAGATCAGGGGTCCCCAACCCCTGGGCCACTGACTGGTACCGATCTGAGGCCTGTCAGGAACCACGATGCACAGCAGGAGGTGAGTGGCAGATGAGCGAGAAAAGCTTTATCTGTATTTGCAGCTGCTCCACAGGGCTAGCATTACAGCCTCAGCTCCACTTTAGATCACCAGGCATTAGAGTCTCATAGGAGCACTGGTGCCTGGGGCCAAAAAGGTTGAGGACTGCTGCTATAGATGACAGACAAGTGGGTTCAATCTTGGCTTTTTATTACAATCATACATTCAGTTTTAAAAGTTGCAGGTGTTAATGCAGGATCATCTCCAACACCTGTGAGGCCTAGAGTATGCATGGAGGCTCACATACTGTATATCTAAATATTTAAAAGTTTTAAAATAAGCGATACCCGAGATCTGGCCCTTGTTTCCTCCCAGAGTCAGCAGCCAGTCCCAAGAGATTGTTCTGGGACTGGAGGGGAAAGGATCCCCACTCTTCCTGAGTGCCACCTGGCTGCCACTAGGGACTTGAGTGGGGAAGCGGAACTCAGCAGAGGAATCCTGGGCAGTGGCTGGACCTGCTCCCATCAAGGCTAAGATGACTCAGTAAAGCTCCTCAGGTCCCTGGGCAGGCAGGGTCTCTCACCTCATGCCTCACTTTTCTGACTGGGGATTGACAGGTATTCTAAGTATCACCTGGAACTACACTCACCCATTCCACCCACCTCCAGAGGTGAGGGCGCAAGTATTGTTACCTGAAAAACGTTGTCTGCATACACATCCTCGCATTTCAGAGGAACTACTTTGACACTAAAGCAGCCCTCTTTCTCTGATTTCAAAGGGCACAGGCTGACTTTTTATCTCTCAGCTCAACACCACCTTACTGAATGAGAGGACTCCATTCAGCTGCCCTGTTCCTCTCTAATATTTTGTGTGTACTGAATTGGTCATCAGACTTTAAAACGTGAGGCTGAAAAGAAAGAAAAGTGTTTGCATTTCTGGTTATGATGTTTGGGGTCTTCTAAAGCATATGACACTCTTGGCCTGATCTAAGAGTTGTGCTACGTCTGAACCCAACCACTGACCCAGAATTTATTGGGATGGGGTGGGTGTGAAGTCTCAGGACCTGTGCCTACAAAGCTCCATGGTCGATTATAATGCCAAGGCGGGATTAATAATTACTGCTAAAAATGAGGGAGGTGTTTCTGTTTAATTATTGTTTTTTGGCAGGGGAAGTATGCTAGATGGTTGGTATTTTAGAAAGTAAAGTGGAGTAGGATGAAAGATGAATGGGAAGGTGGTGAGACCGTGGCAGAAGAGCTGTGAAAAGCCACCAAGCAAGCGAGATGAAGGCCTAGAGGAAGCAGGGACCATGGGTGGGCAGAGAAGGAGAATCTGGATTGGGGAGGCTCCAGGAGGTCACATCAGAAATGCTTGGTGAGTGGGCCCAGTTCCAATCACAAGACCAGAAGGTAATGGAGACTAGACTCTGGGTGGTGAGAACACAATGCAATATACAGATAATGTATTATAGCATTGTACACTTGAAACTTAAAATATAATTCTTACTAACCAATGTCACTCCAATATACTTAATTAAAAAAAAATGCTCAGTTGTTAGAGGGAGAGATGGAGTACAGATGACTTTGAAATTTCCGGGTTGTTATGGGTTGAACTGTGTCCTCCAAACAAATATGAAGAAGTCCTAATTCCTGGTAGCTGTAAATGTAACCTTATTTGGAAACAGGATCTTTGCAGATGTAATCAAGTCAGATGATGTCATTAGGGTGGTCCCTAAATCAATATGGCTAGTGTCCTTATAAAAGGAGACCCATAGGGAGGACAGCCAAGTGTTGGAGGCAGTGATGAAAGTGATGTAGCTCCAAGCCAAGGAGTGCCAAGATTTTCCAATTGTCATCAGAAACTGGGAGAGAGGTGAGAAAGGGTCCTTTCCTATAGGTTTCAGGGAGAGTATGGCCTTGGAGATACCTTGATTTTTGAACTTGTAGTTTTCAGAACTGTGAGACAGTACTTCTGTGTTGTTTGAAAGCACTCAGTTTGTAAAAGTTTGTTACAGCAGCCCCAGGAAAAAAATACATAAGCTGTAACAAACAGCACCCACGGTGTTGGCTCTCTCTGAACTGGGCCATCAGTGAAAGCAAGCATTTGTGATAGCCAGTGCCAGAACTGTGAATACTTTCTACAAGCAATGGAGCCCCATATTCAGTGTCCCTCTTGCTCACCCAGCTGTATTAATTCGCTATGGGCTTCAATTATCTACTATACAAAAAGGCATAAACAGAAAATATTAATTTCCTATAGGTTTCAGTTGTCTACTACATAAAAAGGCAGTTTCCAAGAGCTAAGTTAAAAGGTTTTTACATTCAGTTTTCCCATATTCTAATTTGATTTTGAAGATATTTTTGGTAGTATTTTAAGCTATTATCTTTAATCTACTATAGTAAAAATTATTCAGAAAATTTACAGAGATTTCACCTCCACAAGGGACATTTTCGGATAGGAAATTGTTGCAGGATTGAACTGCCAAAGAGACAGCTGAAAAAAATGGGTCATGCATTCATCCCATTCTGGGACATAAGCTGCCAAGCGGTTCACTGCTCATTTTTGTCCTCTTCTCGTAAACAAGCTGCATTAACAAGTTACTTTAAAAAAGCATACTAATTTCCCCAGTGAATTACACAGGAAAGAATCCAGCGTTTCCTCCGAGAAATCAAACAGTTGTTTGTTCTCAGAGCTCAGGTGTGGTAAAATAGCTGTGGGCTAAAAACGCACACTGGATATTGGCCAGTAGGCTAGAGCTTTCCTTCCACTTCAGCCCTGATTTCTCACATTGGTGTGCAACTCATAGCTTGCTTATTGTGTGTGTGTGTGTGTGTGTGTGTGTGTGTGTGTGTGTGTGTGTAGAACTCGATTTTCATTTTCAATTTAATTACACAATCTATAGTGCCCGGTGGGAAGGATTTAGGGGCAAGATTAATGCTCAACAGTGCTCTGTTTTACATTCTTTTTTGATAACGAACACTGTATTGATTATCCAAAGTGAGTTTTCAAAAATGTTTTGTAAGAGCCAAATTCTTTTGGTAGCAAAGTAATTTCAAAAGGGGGAGGGGTGACTTCATTTCCTGGCTCTTTGCCAAAATTTAGATAAGTCGGAGGTGTAAGATGCTTTTTAAAATTGTATTGCCAATGCATTCTTGAGAGTGGGGAGTACCTCCCTACTTAGGAGAAGAATGAATAGAAATTCCATTGTTGAATTAGAAATACAACTGGAGGACACTAATTGAATCACAAAACAATCCCTTCTAAGAACGACTATATAACTAATATACTTAAGATCCTAACCTCCTATGTGAAAATCCAAAAAATTTCACTCTCTTATTAGAACTAGAAACCATTATGATTTTTATCTGGCGTCAAATCAGTGTTTAAGATTATGGGTAAATATTTGGTGTTCTATTTTGGTGTCTACATATTCTATTCAGCCAAATGTAGAAAGAAGGAAAATACAGGAAATGAAATATGCCCCTAAGAAGTAGGCTTAATATATTTCTTGACCAACTGCTTTAACTTCTTAAGTTAATAAAGAAAATAGTTCTCTTTATAAAGAAAAGTATTCCCTATGTGACTAAATAAAAAAAATGGTAGCAATAAACTTTAATGGTTAACTGTTGTTTAGCATTCCCAAACCACTTGAGTACATACAAATAACTGAAAATACAATGAAAAGAAACTAAGCTCAAAAGGCAAATAAACTGTTTGAAATGGCTAACTGATTTTGCCATTGCACAATGATGGCAATTTCAAGTATGATGATGGCTGCTACTTCGAGTCACTATTTACAATTACATTCAAAAGCAAACTGGCACCTAATAAACATTAAATTTTGCTTAGTGAATCTGCAGTATAGTATACTAGCCAAATGAGTTAACACACTTTAAAGCTTGATGAGTTACAGGGCATCTGGCACCGATTAGTTAAAGCTAGAACTTAATTTGGGTGGAATGACAATGGGACTAGAACTGGAACTTATTTTGAAGCCCATTAGAAGACTTTGAAAAATGTACCCCTCACTCTTCTCCTTGGCAAGAGTGAGTTATAATTTATGCCAAAGGAGAACAACAACAAGACATGGAGATTTGTGCCTGTGAGTGAAACCTGAGCATATTTGCCACAGGCCAATGTTTGCATTCTCTGAGTCTAGTGGTACAGGTGGCATTCGGAGACATTGCAGCTAGACTGGCCTAAGGTGGGGTGGAGCAAGACGGGGTTTGGTGAAGGCTGTTCTCATTGTGTACGTGTGACGGCGTGTTTCAAGCCCGTTAAAAAGTTATACAGAGTGGCTCCACCTACCAGTAAATATAAAAGATAAATTAGTAAAAAGACTGGATAAGAAAATAAGGAGGCCGACAGATAGACACTGGCTGACTGCGGGTAGAAATTGAAGACCAGAATGGAAAGTTAACTTGTACCTTTCCACTGCTAGGGGTTCAGCTCTTAACCATTTGGGAGGGAGTGACTGGGTGAATTAAAACTTGGGAAAATCACAGAGAAGAGTCACCTTAGTTAAGGGAGAAGTAGATAAAAGTATCTATTTGCGGTCACGATCGTATTAACGCAGAGGTCAGGATATGCTCAGAGGGATATGTACACATCAGAGCTGGCAGAGTCCCACTCTCCCCTGTTTCCCATCCTTGGGGAGGATGTGGAGAGAGGAATGAGGCAGAGGAGACAAGGAAAGTGCATAGTCATCCACATATGACCAGTTTATATGTTTTCAGAACCAATAATATGTATATTGCTCATACCCAATAATTGGCAATGCCTTTTGTATTTTTTTTACATTTACAAATGCTTAATTATTAACATTTAAAGCAAAATTCTATATTACAGTTTATGAGAAGTGAGGAAATACCTGGTCGGTGCTATGTTCTTGGATTTTTTCTCTAGTCACTGAAAGAGAAAGCAAAAAGAAATTTAACATCAATGTATATAAATGAAGAAGATACGATAATGGTTTTGCTCTGTTCCCACTCATAACTCCAACAGTAATCATGGGCTCTCTGAGCAAGGATTTGTATCACAATATGAACATTTACAACCACTTCAATAATTGGAATGAAAAAAGTCAAAATGTAAATAAACCATTTTAGACAAAGAAAACAAAAAACTAACTGAAAATCCGGGAAGGGTGAAGCCAGAGAATGTATTAAACTCTGGCAGAGAAATAGTGAACAGACAGATGAAAAGGACCAAAGAAAAATTTGAACAATATCCAGTCAAAGGTTCCCAAACAATGACAACCCATTCAAGTTTAATACTACCACTGAGCTCATGCAAACTTGAGGACTAGACAAGGAGATTTAAAGGCACAGATGGCAGAAGTGCTACTTTTAAAAACCGTTCTCGTACCTGTGAAGATAATAAAGACATTATGCCTTGTTATAGTACTGCCAGAGATTAATTAAAGTACAAGCCAACAGTTCTATAAATGGTATCTTGGTGAGGGCAGAAACAAATCAGAGTAAAGTATAAAGGCAACATAAGGGAAAAATAATAAGGATTCTAAAATAATAAACCTCAGTCATTATGAAAATAGCCTGAAAGTGATCAATGTCATGTATAAATAGAAGGAAAAAGAATCTTTAATAATAATAAATAACCAATAAACCACCAGGAAAGAGAGGAAAGAAGTTTGGTGGCATTGCAGTTATGATATGCTGTGAACATCTCAGTATGAAATATACACTTTATTAAATATGTCCTTTAAAATTTTTAATTAAGATAATTGTGCAGTCACATGCATTTGTAAGAAACCTTACCGAGCAATCCTGTGTACCCTCTACCCCATAACATCCGGAAGATCTATATAGCACAGTATCACTACAAGGAAATTGACACAGTCAAGATATAGAGAGTTTCCATTGCCATTTAAATATGAGAAAAATCATCTCCATTGAGCTCTTAAAATTCTCATAAATTAAAACATACAATTATATAATTATTTTGTGGCCTTATGGTTATGATCGCTGTGATGATAATTTTTTTCTCTTGCTTACGGATAGCCTTAGCCTGGTGGAGATGTAAATGTTCCCTGGCCGACGCAAGAAAAAAGGAGGGAATCCCACTTCAGGAAAACCTAAGTCATCCCCAAATTTATTCAAATCATATTTGAAAAAGGAATGGAATTTAGGGGATAAATTTTAACTGCATAAGCCATTGCTAATAAAAGATTAAGAAGTATGTGGTTTAGCATCTTTTAATTATTTTTTCTAGCATCTTGAATATACGATGTTTGAAATCTCTGGTTGGATCAACATTATTTTGCTCAGAGGTTTGTGGACTTTGCATACTGATTCTTTCCTGTTTCCCAGTACATTTGCTTTTAGGCTATTTTTATTCACTTTAAAGGAATTTTAATAACTTTCTGTTGACAGCATGGACAGCTGGTCTTGAGAATTAAAGAAAATTCACTTGCTGACTGAGGAAGGAAGTGACATCAATGAGCTTCTAAAGTCAGCCCAGAGGGGGAAATTGGCTTGTGAGAGAGTAGCCTTTCATTGCACTGTATTTATCGAGCGATGCCTTGAGATGCAAATTGCCGTATCAATCAAACCTACGGTGCCTACCTCCAACCAACTTAGTGCAAACTGAAGGAACAATGCCCTGAAACGCTGAGAAGAAAAAGGATGAGAAGTGCAGGAACCTAGGGGCTAAGTGAATTATGGGAGCTCAGGATCCCCTCTCTGTGCTGATACTTCATTCTCTGTCGAGCCTCAGTTTCTTTGTCTGAGTTTGATGTAAACTGTTGGTCGAAGTCTTTTTCTATGACATATGGCTAATAAGAACACGTACTAATATATATAGTGCAGACACGTTATCCTGCCACTTCGTCTCGAACAGTGCCACCAAACTGCTTTTTATCTCCCACTGACGGCTATCTAGAAACAGGGATCTTTAGGTGTCATATGTAGCTACTCTCTTGATCTCCTTTTATTATTAAAATTGGTATTCATTGTTTATAACTCTACTGCAGAAAAAGCCAAACACCAAATTTGGACTTTAGATAATAATGACGACAGGAATAACAATTATTATCATTTTGGTGAATGATTTAATTCTTCACAACCATCAGAAAATTTTCCTCTGGAGCTGTAGTTAGCTATTTCTCAAAGATAACTATATTGCAAGTGAATTGAGTATGTATGTGTGGGTTGTGTATTGTGAGTGTGTACATATCTGTGTATACACATACATCTGTGTGAGAGGCAGAAAAGTACCTACAAACATTTTATGATTATGAGCTGAAAAATTAAATTGCTGATTATTGATTTCTTAGCTCATTCTAAAAAGTGTTTGAGGTGGCTAAAATGATGATTCAATCACAGTTAAATAATTTGAATTTGAGTTAACCATCTAGAGTTAAAATTTAATTCAGCCCCAAAGATAGATGTATTAATACTGACCTCTTTTCCTTATCTACAAAAAAATTTGGATAGTCAATTAAATTTTGAAATTTTATAGGCTTAAATATGTAACTAGAACCACTCAAAAAATATTGGTTAAATAAAAAAAGAATAGATGAGGTCTCAACAGCTATAGTCTTCAAGCCAAAGGAATTTCAGATTGTTCTCAAGCCTGGATATGCTCTGATGTTAACAAAACTCACTCATTCCATCTACAGCGATATTTTGATGCATGTCTATTCTGGATGATATGGTAGGTGCTCTGGAGGTGTAGAAGTAAAGTAGAAGAAACATGATATGCGCACACGAAAAAGTGACAACATAAAATCATGGAACTGTAAGAAATTTATTGTTAAAATGGGTAGTTAGATCAAAAAGTATTTAAATTCTGATATAGTAGAAATGAAAACAGGTGATAAGCGCCTCAGCGGAAGTTTTGGTCATTATTTTTTGGATCTGACACCAAAAGCAAGGTGAAAAGAAGCAAAAATAAATAACTGGGACAACATTGAACTAAAAAGCTTCTGCGCAGCAAAGATTGCCATCAACAAAATGAAAAGGCAACCTACGGATTAGAGAAAATCTCATATGCAAATCATATATCTGATAAGGGGTTAATATCCAAAATACATAAAGAACTCATATGATTCCACAGTAAAACAAAAACAAACACAAACTAATTTAAAAATGAGCAAGAGATCTGAATAGACATTTTCCCAAAGAAGATAGACAGATGGGCAACAGGTACATGAAAAGATGCTCAACATCACAAACCATCAGAGAAATGCAAATCAAAACCACAATGAGACATCGCATCATATCTTTTTGAATGAATATTATCAACAAAACGAGAAATAAAAAGTGTGAGAATGTGGAGAAAAGGGAACCCTTGTGCACTGTTGGTAGGAATGTAAATTGGTGCAGCCGCTATGGAAAACAGTACAGAGGTTCCTCAAAAAATTAAAAATAGAACTACCATATGATCCAGCAATTCCACTTCTGGATATCTAGCCAAAGAAAACAAAAGCACTTACTTGAAAATATATAGGTATTCCCATGTTCATTGTAGATTTATTTATAATAGCTAAGATATGAAGATAATCTAAGTGACCATTGATGGATGAATGAATAAAAAATATTGTATACATATACAATGGAATATTGTTCAGCTATAAAAAAGAATAAAGTCTTGCCACTTGTGACAACATGAATGGAACTTGAGGACATTATGCTAATTGAAATAAATTAGAGAAAGACAAATACCATATGATCTCACATATATGTAGAATATAAAAAAGAAACAACCCAAAACCATGCTGATAGATACAGAGAACAGGTTGGTGGTTTCAAAAGGCAGAGAGCAGGGAGTGGTAGAAATGAAATGGGTAAAGGGGATTAAAAAGTCCAAAAAAAAAAAAAAGGCATTTAAATTTTGATATAGTAGAAATGGTGATGGATTCACTTTCAGACTTTTCTAGTCCCGACTGTGCCACTATCAAGCTGTATGGTGTTTGGCAAATAACTTCACTCCTTTAGTCATTGTCCTTGATGCATAATGACTGCTGCAAGTATAAATGGTCTCTTAACCTGTTTATAGTTACTTAAGTTCTTTGGCCCTATAAAAGAATAAGGGAGACTGAAATTTTCCATTGAATTGGTACAAATAAAAAAGAGAAGAGGTCACGTTTGGTGGGGGTACCTGGGGAGGCTTCATGGAGGAGACAGCATTTGCTTTGGGTAGGATATTAACAGAAGAAGATTGGAGGAAAGGTATTTCATATAGAAGGAAAAGCACAGAACCAGGAAATGCATGGACATGCACAGAGGGTAGTAACTGTTCTGTTTGAATATTAGTAAGTAATAGGGACAAGACAAAACATGCGCATATCATGGAGAGCCCTTGATACTTAAGAAGAGATTTGGACATTTATATGGTAGGGAGCTCTAGAAGATTGTTGAGACAGAGAGTGATCAAAACTTTTCAGAAGATTAATCTAACAGTGTTATGGCTTTAGGATGGGGAATACTGGTAAGGAGATTGAAGAATACAGATGAATATGAGACACATGGTGTGAGTACAGAGGACTTAACAATTCAGATAAGGAGCTGGGGCAGTAGGATGGTGAAAAAAATGAATTAAAGATATTTGCTAATGATACATCTGATAAGGGGTTAATATCCAAAATTTATAAAGAACTTATACAACTCAACAACAGAAAACAAACAATCCAATTAAAAAATGGGCAGAAGACCCAAACAGATACTTCTCCAAAGAGGAAATACAGATAGCTAACAGACATATGAAGATGCTCAAGGTCACTAATCATCAGAGAAATGCAAATTAAAACCACAGTGAGATATCTCCTCACACCTGTCAGAATGGCTATTATCAATAAATCAAAAAACAGCAAGTGTTGGCGAGGATGCGGAGAAAAGGGAACACTCATACACTGTTGATGGGATTGCAAACTGGTACAGCCACTATGG